TTCCAACCCAAACCATTCTATGATGGTTCTAACATACTTATTAAATCTGCTTCTGCTACGATGTGGGTGCTGCAGCGCTCTGGCTTATTTACACTGCAGTAGTGGTGGCAGTCTTTCATTCTCAGTTATGCAGTGTAAATTGGTTATAAGCATAAAAGAAAATTAAATTGCTTTAGGAATGAACTTCATTTGGGAAAGAAATTTGTTCTAGATATATGAGTGGTAGTAGAAGATGAAGTTCAGCAGAGAGTTTCTTCAGAAAACAAAGGAGGATGTACCCCCAGTATTACCTTGCTCTTTTTCTTTAAAGAAAAAGTATGCATTTTTTTTTGTTTAACTGTAGATTGTAGTCTCTAGCATGCTAAAATAATGGACTCTTATTTATTCTTGAATCTTGTTAACTTTAGGCTTCCTTGGTTATGGTCTTTGTTGGCCATGTCAAGTCTGTGATGAGAAGTCAAAGAAAATATCTCAGCCAAGAAAATTAACTACTAGCACACCACCACAGTTATATAGTGCTTGGTTTACATTATGAACTATTACTATTAACAGTCTGAAAGTTCTTACTTGATCACTTTGATTAATACAGGATAGTACTGGAATGAAGTTGTGGAAGAAACGGTGGTTTGTGCTCTCAGATCTGTGTCTCTTCTATTACAGAGGTAAGTTCTACTCAGGAGAGCTTCGTTTGCCAGTTTTACTGGAAGCAGATAAATTTTGACACATCACTGAAATGTAAGAAGTAAGAAGCTGCTACTTAACTTAATGGGTTAAAATAGTTGTATAGCTGTCAATATCCAGGCCTGCTACTTGTATCTCTTTTTTTATTATTTCTGAATTACCCATTTCACGTAATTGCTTGCTGCCTGTCAGGTATGCTCAAAGGGCAAACCCATTCACAGCCATCTCTGCTATTAAATGCTGGATTGTAGTGTTCTCACTGCTTCTGTTGCTAGGAACTAAATATGCCAGGTTAAATCTGATTTTTCATGCAACTGAAGTAACTGAAATGAGGATAGGAAAGGGATACTACAGGGGGGCTGAAACTCTGCCGTTGGAATGATAAAGAGGATATATATGCCTTTTGGGAATCTAATCAGTGTTCATGAATACTTATAAAGTGAAATGTTGTCCAGTTCCATGTGAGTAGAAGTCTCTGCTGTATTTGGAACAAAGAAATCTGTTAGTGCCCTTATGTAGCTACATCAGACTTATTTTACATGGGAAAAATTAGCTGCTTATAATTCTAGTCAGTTAGAAAACTGATACCTTCACCATTACACATTATTAACTGTAGTGCTCCTGAGAGGTTAAACAAATGGGATTTGTGCATATGGAAGCGTATTCGATCCTGAAATAAGGTGTACAACTGTAGTAGTTTAAAGAAAGCTGAGAGCAAAGAAGACTGTAAAGCATGGCAAAATAGAGGAAAATAAACAGTTAAGGCCATCTGCAGGGTAAGAAAGGGTTTCAGTTTAGGATGAGACTTTAGAATTGGTAGAAGTGGTGTTGATGCTGGTGAAAGCAGTGACCGATGAATTCAAAATGCTGTTTTGTTAACGCACAGTGTGATTCTCATCTAGGCAAGACAAATCAGGTCAGGAAACGGAAGTTCTGTCTTTGTAACTGTTTTAGCTAACAAACTGTGAATTATTGAAATATAATCATTAGGCTTTGTTTCTTTACCCTAAGAAGTGTTCATAGTTGGGTAAACCACTGCTGAGTCAAAATTAGGATATAGTTTCGGTCATGGGGCATCGGTTGTGATACAATTACACTGCATTTAGTTAAGTGATCGTTATATACTCTGTGCTTCCTTACAGGGTTTTCTTATTTTAAACAAGTCTTCAGGCTCTCTCTTCCAAAGGATCTAAAGAAAGTGCTGCTTTGTAGCTGCCTTAAGAACAGATTAAATTGACTTAAAGCACACGCATGAAGTAACTCAAAATATAACAAAAAAGCAATAAGCAAAACCAACAGCAAATAAAATAAATCTAAACAGGTCTATGATCTTACTTTGTCACTTCTACATGTCAGTGTGCCAAATAAGCTGAAACAGCATCAGAAGAGCCTAAACTGTTTGCATGATGAACTTCGCTTTTACCTATCGCTCACCTGGTAGAAAGCAGCTAAAGCTGATAAACTGTAATTAAACATGTACAGTGAGAGTCTTAAAGATGTTAGAAATGGCTGCTAAAATATAAAATACTTGCACTCTAAACCCTGTGCTTTGATGGTTTTGCTAATTCTGTCTCAGATATTGAAAAAATAGAAAGGGGGGAGCCAGGCATTTACTCCCAGATCGCAAACAGTGTTTCTGGTTGGATGATTGTGGTGGTTGGGGATTTTTTGGTTTTGTTTTTTAGTTTTGCTAGTAAATCTTACTCAACTTTTACAATCATGTTACAATATTAGCAGCTTAAATCTAATTTATAGATGAAAAGAAAAAATATTTCATTGTATTTTGTCAGAGCTTAAAGAATACTCTTTTTCCGTTCACAGAGGGATAAAAGACTGCTTGCTTTGATTTTGTAAGGTTATTGTTGCAACAAATAAAAGATCTTAGAGCTGGACAGAAGATCTACTTTTTTTCTCTTGTATTATTCATACACAGCATACAAGAAAAGGATGGGTATGGGGCAGTGTAATGTATAGATAAAAGCTAGTCTGTTAAAATCTGGAAATGGAATGTAGCAGTATGTCTTCAACAAAGACCGAAGTCCTCCAGACGCGCAGCTGTTCAGTGGAACAAGAATGCTTAATGCTTTTATGTGGCACTAGTGGGTGTGATTTACTCAGAAGCAAGTTGAAGTACAATCTAGAAGAATGGAATTTTTCCCCAAAACAGCAGTCGAAATAAAGTAAGCCTCAACATTTGCCATGCATTCTGGGACAGAGAGAAGAACGCAGATTTGTGTGTGTGTGTGGCTGGCAAGGAGTAAATATTTGAGAGGGGAAGGTGGGATGACTGCAGGCATACTTGTGAGTACAGTTGAGTACCTAGGAGTAAATCCACTCCATTTCTTTTCTGCCTTTTAATCAGAATGATTCTGTGCTCAGTTCCTCAATTAAATAACTATCCAAGAAACGTAATTTTTGTGTCTAACATGTCCTGTAGTGCTAAAATGACTGGACAGAGCTTTTCCCATATGAATAACTTGCAGGAAAGTTGTGGCTCTTCCAGAATTTGATGAGTAAACAAGAACTGGAAAAACATTCTTAAATCTCCGTGTAAGAGGTGGTCCTTCTGTGCTGTTTACGTGTATTTTAGTTGTAGCAGTATTAATTTTCCATGCTTGAAACTTTGGAATATGTATGTTTTCATCTTAATTTCATAGTCCTTTGTCGTGGACAGTATCTTCAACTCCAACAAGTGTTACGGGGGACAGTCTCCTAAGATACTGGTTGTAAACAGAAGTTCTGTATCTGAAATACAATTAAGATTGACTTTGTGAATTGCATACAATTATTCCTTCATTAAAGTATAATTGGATTTAAAAGCTGATGGTGGCTTCCAATTAAAATGTCAATTTATTATTACGATGTGTTGTTCTAAAATTTTACGTGAAACAAGGTTCTGGGGAAAGGGTGTTTGTTTTGGGGGAGAGTTTGTTTGGTTTTTACAAACTATCTGAAACATATTCTTAGTTCTTCAATTAAATAACTGTCCAAGAAAGCATAATTTTTACATCTAACCTGTCATGAATGAAATTGAGTGTAAACTCTTCATGGCAATTATAAAAACTAGCTTAATGTACCTGATACCAGAAGAAGAATGTGCAAATTTTCTCAAAGGCCAGCAATCATAAGCAGTATTTTAAAATACTTCTGCTCTCATAGGCACTTGCAGTTTTTACTGAGCAGACAATAGATAGCAGGTATTGTTCTTGTCACTGACTTAGAGACTTGACTTCCAGCTGCTTTTCAGCTTTGAAGTCATATGCAGTTAAGCACTGATCCCAAAAAACCCTCTAGGTGAAGCCGTTGGTGGTGTTTTCCATAAGGTAGCAGATTCCATAAGGTAGTTCACATGCTGGCACTCTCAGGAGGGTTTGTTTGTGCTGGTCCCTCTTGGGAAAAAGTCGCAGGTGGCTGTTTGTGGATGGCCCAGGTTTCCCAGTGCCCGGCAGGTTTTTGGGATGCTCCCTTGTGCGATGGGCGTTCCGCGGTGTGTGTCGGCAGAGAGGGGCTGCAGAATCGCGCTGGCGGGCTGCACGCTGCTGAGGCTGTGTACAGACACCTGTGGAACAAATCCCTCTGGCTTTCTGATTCCCTAACGCGTTTGCTTCCCAAGTAAACTTCTTGTTACCGGTCCCGTGGTGTTAAGTACAGTTTCAATATTATAGGGTCTGAATACAAGAATTATGTGTCAAAAATCTTTATTTCTCTAATCAAATTACAGATGAGAAAGAAGAAGGAATACTAGGTAGCATACTTCTGCCTAGTTTTCAGATATCTGTGCTTTCTCCCGAGGACCATATTAACCGCAAATATGCCTTTAAGGTAAGGGAACTAATTTTTCAGTTTAGTTTTATGTCTGAAAGCACAACAGCCTGGTGGTCAGAACTCATTTTGCTGAGTTGTTGTGCAGAACAGGATTGACAAACAGCTTCTGAGACTGATTTTCGCATAGTACAGTAGTGGAGGATTCAAGTATTTAGCCTGGTGTAAATATAGATGTAATTACTAGAATAAGAAAATGGAGGAATATCATTTATTATTAGTCTTTTAATTTAGTTCATGGATCTTAAATGCTGTGTGGTGTTTTAAAACTGCAAACTGCATCCGCAGCTAGACTTAGCCCACTAATGAAAGTTCTATAGTTATTTAGATATGAAGTATCTTTACACATAAATAAAAACAAGGTTTTATTATCACTTAATCACAATATTACATGAATCGTTACGAGTGTTTCACAGCTGATCTTTTTAATCATGATATAAATCACTCTACTAAATCTTGACTTTTTTGTTTGCTTGTTTTGTGAGCTCCTTTTGGCTCTTCTTTTGGCCTCCTAAGCAACACATCATTTATTTACTATGGTAAGTACAAATTAAAACTTACTGTATCATTCAGACTGCAAAAATCTACACCACAATGTTATTTATAATAATTATGTTAATTTACATGAATGGATAGTCAAGATAGTTTTTAATCGATTGAAGTAATTTAAGGGCTTTTAATTGAATGTATCAATGAAGAAGCAGCTATGATTGAAAATTATAGCCAATTATTTTGATAATATGAATGCAATGATAGAGAAACATGGCAGTATTCCTTCTAATATTTTTTCTGATAGTATTATTTGTAGAAATGTTATTATAGAAAACATTAGAGCAAGTATACAGTAACGTTATTTGCCTCTCTTCTTTTACAGAATCTTATATTTTTATTGCAATGACCATGTCATTTCCAATCAGGCAGCTCATCCAAACATGAGGACCTATTATTTCTGCACAGATACAGGGAAGGAAATGGAGTTGTGGATGAAAGCTATGACAGATGCAGCACTTGTGCAAACAGAGCCTGTGAAAAGGTAGTGTGGATTGACAAAACAGTGACACGGTGTTTTTCTTTCTCATATTCAGTTTGATTTATTTAAATGAAAGGGTGTACCTTAAAATAGAATTTAAATTGGCTGAAGTAATTTCTCCTTATATTGAAGACCCCTTACTAATTTAACCATGTTTGATAAAATTTTGAAGCAGTAAAAATATTCTGAGCTCTGTTCTGAATATAGATGCTTTGAGTGTAAGGGGTTGGTTAGAAGGAAAAAACAACTGACCGGTTCCTGTAGCCAGTGATATCACAAGAAGTGCAGTGATAAATACTCTGTGCGGGCATGTTTGACTTCCCCTGGCCTCCTGAACAGCAGTAGCAGCTCAGCTGGTGGTAGTCCTTGGCTTAAACCTGTCAGAAGTCTCATTCACAACCGTCGTTTCTGGCTAAATTGGACAGTTGTACCTGTGGGCAACCTGTGGGGACCCATTCTTGGTCATCGTTAAGGTGTCATGTAGTTTATCCTTACCTAACCTCGAACCTTATCCTTTATGTATCCATGTTGTTGACAATGAAAACCAAGTTATTGCTGGAAGCCTTGTGTTCTCAGAAACTCAATCTTGTCTGCTGCTGTCTATCCAGGAAGAATTGTTTTCTCTCTCAATGTGGTCTCTTGGGTCGGCTCCATGGCATCTCTAATGGAAACCTCATCAACTGAAAATTTTGAAACTCCTTGTTATTGATGGCACAGAATTTATTGCTGATGGCTGCTGTCACTTGATCTGTTCTGTGCCCTGTTAGTTCCTGCTACACTGGAGCTAAATGAATAGCAGCAATGCTGAGAAGATTAAAGATTAAAAAAAATAGTAAAAAAAAATCACATAGACACAGGTACCAAAGAAGGAAAAGATACCATTTTTGCAGAAGAGTAAGAACATTAAACTTGTCAAAATACAGGCAATCTTTCCAAATTTTGCATTGCTAGTGCAAGTCGTTCCTGTCAACTTGTTCCTGACATTTCTGTGTCCCATGTTCCAGTATGGTGCTGACAGAAGCATTAAATGGAATGCAGAATGATTAGACATTTTTATTGTTACACGTCTTAATGTTTTGTGAGCTTCTCAGTCAAACATAATGAAACTTTTACTTACACCGATCTACAGGACGTTCAGAAGGAAAACAGTAAACTAAGAACACTTTCAAATTTGTACCTGTGGAACATTTTAGTGACTAATCTTAAATAAAAGGTTGAACTCTTACCTTTTATCTCTAAGATACTTAAAATATATAGATAGTATATGAAGTATTTCATTCTCTGCATTGCACAGCATAGTGAAATAGCTTAAGAAAAAAACCAAGTTGTTCTCTGTATTTTGAAAAAATAACACACGTGCTTCAAACTCTGAAGTGTCATGTGTGTTTTTCCCAAAATTACTGAAAATAAAAGATTTCAGCTTATAGAAAGGAGGAATGGTAGGTCAAATTACCTCAATGAAATTTGATCTGATTATGTATGATTGAATATTAAATATGAAAATGTTATGTTCTTTGTCTCCTGTAATGCTCCTCATGTTTGGGAACAATAGATGTCATGGGGAGTGGATGAGCAGAGTGAGACTGAGCATAAGCAAGTAGACACTTAATAGCATTTTCACTTTTTTCTTTCTCTGTTCAGAGCTTTTAAGAGATTGCACTTAAAAGAATGAAGTTACCTTGACAAAATAAAATATCTTGTTTAGCTTAGTGAATAATAAACTTCATCTGAAAAATCAATTTTGGTTCACATTATAAGTGTATTGCAGATAACTGTGGTACTTACAGATGGAGAAATGATTAAACCAAATCAGACCCGCTTAACTTAAAACATAAATCATTTATTGATTGTAAAAGCACTTCGTAGGGGGAATAATACCAAAGTGTGTCATTCTGAATCTTTTTGAACCAGTGAAATGACCTTCCTTTGGTGTTTGCAATACTGTGAAGATTGAATGTTTAAAGAGGACAACTTAGTAGTAGGAAAAAAAGTTTGAAAAAAGTGTATCTCCAACAGAGTCTCCTTAATAAACGTCATCTCCAGAGTCTCTCCTGCAGTAGTCAATGCTTTATAGAAGATACTTAGTAAACTTAATTATATATAGACAGATGTTACATTATCAGATGTATCAAAAGGAGCATGGCCAGCAGGTCAAGGGAAGTGATTCTGCCCCTCTACTCAGCTCTCGTGAGACCCCACCTGGAATACTGTGTTCAGCTCTGGAGTCCCCAACACAAGAAGGACATGGAGCTACTGGAATGAGTCCAGAGGAGGGCCACGAAGATGATCAGAGAGCTGGAGCACCTCTGCTATGAAGACAGGCTGAGAGAGTTGGGGCTGTTCAGACTGGAGAAGAGAAGGCTCCGGGGTGATCTTATAGCAGCCTTCCAGTACCTAAAGGGGGCCTACAGGAAAGCTGGAGAGGGACTTTTTACAAGGGCATGTAGTAATAGGACAAGGGGCAATGGATTTAAACTGAAAGAGGGCAGGTTTAGGTTAGATATAAGAAAGAAATTATTTACATTGAGGGTGGTGAGGCAGTGGAACAGGTTGCCCAGAGAAGTTGTGGCTGTCCCATCCCTGGAAGTGTTCAAGGCCAGGTTGGATGAGGCTTTGGGCAACCTGGTGTAGTGGAGGGTTTCCCTGCCCATGGCAGGGGGGTTGGAACTAGATGATCTTTGAGGTCCCTTCCAACCCAAACCATTCTATGATTTGTGATTCCTTGAGATATTTCTTCTAACATAAGAAGCGATCTAAAATGTTGATTTAAATATCCACTGTGTGCAGTTCATTCATGGAGCTGTACTGTCATGTTTGCTGCCTCGGAGCCTGGCACGACTCATCGTGAGCTCGCTCTGGCACCCAGCGCAGCTGTCGGGCTCGTGGTCCTTCCCAGACAACAGTGCCATGGATGCTCCAACAAGACGGATGCGAGTCCACTGCCGTGGCAGCATACAGGCAAATGATCGGGATTCCCAATACAGCTGAGCTTATCTAATGGTTTTAATCTAGCTGTGTGTGCTCCTGCAACCTGCCTTGCACTGCTTCTGGTGCTTATCTTACTCGTTGGTGAATCAGTGTAGCACTCTAAACGAGTGGAACAGCACTCAACGGCAAAACCAGCCGTTTTCTGCCTGGATGTCACGGGCAGAGCGGGCTTACCAACAGCGAAAACAAGCTTCAGAAAAGCAACAAGAGAAGTGATTGATGTAACACCATCTTGTTGTTTTAATTCAGGCAAGAAACCCTAGAATGAAACAGAAGTAGATGTGACCTCTTTGCAAAGTTTGTTAGTAGTCTTGAAATAATTATTTGAGAGAAAATACATTTCAAGACCAGTGAAGTCTCAAAGACTTTCATGTCTGTTGGCTATAATAAGGAAGACAATCCTTCAGATCTCTGTTTTCTAAAGAATACATCTTTTGACCATCAAACCAATTCTTAAAGTGAACCATGTAGCAGGATATGATCTTATCCAGAAGAAATAACTGTTTCTTTGCCATAAAAATCTGTTAAGTATTAAGTATTGTATTACTTCATCTCTAAGTAACCTAAAGTTTGGCATGCACATAGCTCTAAGCACAAATTATTTTCTTTCTGTCGGATTCAGCCAGTGCCTTTGTTTCTCAATTCTGTTTTTCAAGAGTTTCTCACGTTGTACTGAATACAGTTTTCTAACAGACTAGAAACTTAACAATACAAAAACTAAAGTTGTTAAGAACTGACTTCCTTAAATATTTATCCAAGCTGATGTTGAGCCACTCTCAAGTGCTTGTTAATATAAATTGCCCAATGATAAGTCAGAGTTTTTACAGTATAGTTCTTTTAATCTAGAAGTCAAGGTACTTCACTGCTTATGATACTCTGGAAATGCAAACCCAACAGTCTCTTAAATCGAATGTTTTAGCTTTAAATAATTTCAGGGCTACAATCTGTATCGTTATTTTTCTGAGAATGTGAGTTCCTTGGAGAGAAAAATGTAAAAGGAATATTTAAAGCATTATGTTGTGGGGGTTTTGCCTGGTTATCCATAAAGTATTCTTACTTTCCACATATAGTTAGCCACATAATGCAGAAATGAGAAAATAAAAATGTAACCGTTTCTTTTAGAACTGATCTGCAGAAAAAGCCTCCCTTCTGATGTATAACTGCAGGGAAGGTCAAATATAATTTGGTCCTATTGACTTAACTGTAATTACTCCTTTCTAAACATTTTTGTTTTAATTTCACCTAGATAGCAAATTCAAGTTTCATAATGTACTGAGAGATCTATCAAAATAATTAAACACAAATACTTTAGCCAGTATGGGTTTGACAGATGGACCATTTGGTGGATAAGGAATTGGCTGGATGGTCACACTCAAAGAGTTGTGGTGAACGGTTCAGTGTCCAAGTGGAGGCCAGTGACGAGTGGTGTTCCTCAGGGGTCAGTACTGGGACCAGTGCTATTTAACATCTTTGTTGGAGACATGGACAGTGGGATCGAGTGCACCCTCAGCACGTTTGCTGATGACACCAAGTTGTGAGGTGGTGTTGACATGCAGGAGGGAAGGGATGCCATCCAAAGGGACCTCGACAGGCTGGAGAGGTGGGCCTGTGACAACCTCATGAAGTTCAACAAGGCCAAGTGCAGGGTCCTGCACGTGGATCAAGACAATCCCAAGCACAAGTACAGGCTGGGCAGAGAATGGATTGAGAGCAGCCCTGAGGAAAAGGACTTGGGAGTGCTGGTGGATGAGAAGCTCAACATGAGCCGGCAATGTGCGCTGGCAGCCCAGCAAGCCAACCGTGTCCTGGGCAACATCCAAAGCAGCGTGGCCAGCAGGTCGAGGGAGGTGATTCTGCCCCTCTGCTCTGCTCTCGTGAGACCCCACCTGGAATGCAGCGTTCAGCTCTGGGGCCCCTAACACAAGAAGGACATGGAGCTGCTGGAACGAGTCCAGAGGAGGCCACGAAGATGATCTGAGGACTGCAGCACCTCTGCTTTGAAGACAGGCTGAAAGAGTTGGGGTTGTTCAGCCTGGAGAAGATCTTATAGCAGCCTTCCAGTACCTAAAGGGGGCCTACAAGAAAGCTGGAGAGGGACATTTTGCAAGGGCATGTAGTGATAGCACATGGGGTGATGGCTTTAAACTGAAAGAGGGTGGATTTAGATTAAATATAAGGAAGAAATTTTTTAAAATGAAGGGTGATGAAGCATTGGAACAGGTTGCCCAGAGGAGTTGTTGCTGCCTCATCCCTGGAAGTGTTCAAGGCCAGGTTGGATGAGGCTTTGGGCAACCTGGTGTAGTGGAGGGTGTCCCTGCCCACGGTAGGGGGGTTGAAACTAGACAATCTTTAAGGTCCCTTCCAACCCAAACATGATTCTATAATATCCACCAACGTACTGATTTATCATTTTTACCCTAAATGCTGATTTCTCTACTCTCCCATGTTTAAGAGCATCATTTTTCTGTTCTTTCACTGTCAGCTGCGTGTGTCAGAGCCTTTGTTTCTTCTGAGTGATGCAGCATATACTGAGAAAAGAGTGGGATTTTTTCCCCCTAGCGTACTTACTCTCCCTCAACAGCATGAGCGAAGCTGCTAAAAAAGCACTTGTTAGCATAACGACCTCCACAGTGGGAGTTTACTGACATCACTGTGTTTGGAAAAGACGGCTTTTTCTTTTCAAATGCCTCTGCTTGGCTTCATTAAATCAGTCTTCATGTCTGTCTGATGCTTAATTACATGACACCCCCCCACCACCCTTTCAGAATTATCTACTTACATAAACCAGCAGAAAACAGTACTTTTCCTGTATTACTACTGTTCCATACTTATTAATCCTGTTTTGTTGTAGAAACCTATAAATTTCATTCAGTACATGCTGAAAGACGTATGTTCAATGCTCATTCTCTTTTGTCTTCTCCCTCTCCTGACCTCAAAATACCCTGCAAGTCTTGTTGAATATGTCTTTGAGAGCCAGATATAAATACGGAGCCAAATATAACTATGGATTTATGTTTGTTGCATTTCCGTATTATTTTCTGATAATTCTTTCCCATTTGGATCCTGTGCTGTGGGAAGAGATCTCTTGCTCACCTCAAGTTGACTGACGTGATGCACAGAGTCAAAGGAGAGCCCGGAGGTTTATTTGAATGTCAGTCATTGAGCCTCTACACCACCGCAAAGAATGTCAAATAGAAATGCCTGGCTCTGCCGTGCATAACCATAGTAACAAGGGATGCAGCATGGAGATTACATGGAAAAACAATTCTGTGATTTTGGGGTGGCTGTTTTTTGATTAACATCTACAGGGGAAAGTACTATGATAGTGTGAATCAAACACTGCCAGGTCTTGACATTGCCACCTGTGTGATGAGTGTCCTTAGAGATGCCACTCTCCCTCTGCACCACAGATTTCCAGTTTGTAAAATGGCAACTGCTTCTCTGCTGTAAAGCACCTTGAGAAAGATCGATACCAAGAGCTATATAAGGGAGTAAGTGATACTGTTAAGGCATGTTGCATATATTAATGCCTATGTTTAGGCTTAATTGCAACATAGTCCTTATATCTATTTGTAACCTCTTGAGTGCTGGCTGAAAACTGAGATTTTAACACCCTTTTTGACTTGATAATTGTGGGAAATTGAGTTTTTGATTCACTTTCCTGTTAGGTGAATTCCTTTAGTTTGTGGTAGAACTCGGGGTAGTACAGTTTGAGGTGGGAGGGAGGAGGTGACCCAATTTTTCTCCATAACCTTAAGAAGAAACCTAGGCAGAAATGTTTGGTCTTGGGAACAGTTTAAAGTCTTGAGGGGGGAAATAAAAAGAAAACACCTCACTTTTAAATTGCAGTAGGAGATGAGCATAGCATTTCTTGGCTGATACTTGGGAATTGTAGAAAAGATGATGTGGGTATAGCAGTTTCATCACATGTCCTCCCCCGCAAAAGTCTACATAAAAACTTTCTACATCAAGAGTTTTTTCTCCAGAAGTTATGGTTGGCAGAAATATTACCTTCTCCTTTCTACTAGCAGAAGACATGAGATGTATCTATCCCCTGCATTTAGTAGTGATGTATAAGGAAAAAACCACTGTGTTTAAAATAATTCTGATGCATTCAGCCAAAGAGGTGTTTATGTTAGATTATTGGTATAAATGTTTTCTTTTGCAATACGTTTGACATGTGTGTACACTGTCACGTCAATAGCTCAGGAGTAATCACTGAAAGAAAAGGACTATTTTGAGCTACTTATATTAATAGAGTGATTTTTGGAAGACTTTTATGACATTATTAAGTATCAAGCAGAGACTGAGATCATCACAACTGTGTCAGGAAGTGGCACGGGGGAAAAAAAATCATACCCCTTGTTAACATGCAAAGCGCATGACCGTTTCATTGTAGCTATGCAGAGAACATTGATGTCTTGCTGTTTCTGACTGGTACCTTTGGAATGGTGTGCTTGTCAAGGCAGGAGTCTCCTGATTCTTTTGCGGTCATGGAGAATTCATAGCAAGAGTATAGGGTAGTAATGAGAGGTGCATTTAAAATTAAGTGCCCAGTGTTGTTAGCAGTGGGTCATGTTTTGCAAGGACCTTACCATTTTCAGTCCTTTATTTATTTACTGGGGTTCTGTCTCAAATTCTTGTTGACCTGTTGGGAATTCATCGCTTAAATAATCTGTTGGGAAGTGTAGACTCGTTGGACATTTAAGCTTCATGTTAAAGATGGAGTAAGCAAAAATTATTATTAGAGGAGACTGAGGGGGGACCTCATTAATGTTTATAAATATGGAAAGGGTGACTGTCATGAGGATGGAGCCAGGCTCTTCTCGGTAGCATCCAATGATAGGACATGGGGAAATGGATATAAGCTGGAACATAGGAGGTTCCGCTTAAACATGAGGAAGAACTTCTTCCCAGTAAGGGTAACAGAACACTGGAACAGGCTGCCCAGAGAGGTTGTGGAGTCTCCTTCTCTGGAGATGTTCCAAACCCGCCTGGACGCATTCTTGTGTGATCTGATCTAGGTGGTCCTGCTCTGGCAGGGGGATTGGACTAGATGATCCTTTGAGGTCCCTTCCAATCCCTAACATTCTGTGATTCTGTGAAATGCTTACAGCCGGGTATGTAGTTACTCTACTTGGGACAAGGGCATTTTTCTGAGAAGTAGTCATACTTGTGCTTTTGGTCAGTTGTGTATATGATGGTCTTATGTTTTACACACAGATTAGGCCCTTGAACTGGTCACAGTTATAAAGATGAATAATGTATTTGCAAAAAAGATGCAAAACAGTGTGAAAGGTTAATTTGACATCATCTTAAAGTTTTATTCTTGGTTTGGTTTTACAGAGATGTAATCTTCAACAATTACATATGTTCCTCTTCTTTCCTCCTGTACCAAAAAATGTTGATTGAAACATTTTAGGAGTTTGGATTTTTTTTCTAGTAAACTGAAAAAAAACCTCGTCACTATCTGAGCTGGATGTTCAGTTCACGTTGCAGTACAGAAAAAGATACAACTGCTTGACATTTTGAAATTTTGAAAAGAAGATACCTAGTAGAACTGCATACATTGAGTCCGTGTGTGTAAAGCAGCAACTGTTCTAAAAATATCATTGTTTTTGTGGTATAGTTCCCTAAGTCAGCAGCTATTTTCCCCCTTAAAATTAGGGAAGCCACAGTTATTTTCCGCAAAATGTGTGCCAGCCAAAGTGATAACATACCAGAGAAAGCTAATTGATGCCACTGACCATGAAAAGTTGCTTGCTTTCCTTAAAGGAGGTCATTATATGTTAAGTTCAGCAGTATTGTGAGTCACGAGCTGGTCAGCAATGTAATCTGCTACTGTTTTTAAAGATGGCTTTAAAAATCATCTGAATTTCAGGCTGTTGATATCTTCAAGCTGTAGCTCTTGGGAGAACCACTGAATATTTTTACTGTTTGAATGTCCAGCCATCCACTTTTTCAGAGTCTGGCTTTATTTCCTCTTCTGTGTATTTTTCCTAAGGAGTTAATTTGAAGTTGGCTTAAAAAAACTCACACTCTCCAACCAAAGAAACCCAAAACAAATCAACAAAAGAAACAACCTGTCCTTGATTATTGTGAAAATATGTCCTAGATTTTTCTCTCAAAGACAAGGTATTTGTTTAAAATATCTGGACAGGTATTCACTGAAAGAACCCTGATAAACACCAATATAGTCACTTTTTTTTTAATTACTGTTTTTTAATGAATATTTTGTTGACCTGATAAACACCAATATAGTCACTTTTTTTTAATTATTGTTTTTTAATGAATGTTTTGTTGGTATTATAGCTTGTCATATATTCCTTTCCAGAGTAGAGAAGTTAACCGCCGAAAATGCACCACCTCGAGAGGCAAATAATATTTCAAACCATCGGGTGCTAATTAAGCCAGAGGCACAAAATAACCAGAAGAACAAAGTGAGCAAAAATGAGGAGAAGAAAGCTTTGGAAGCCGAAAAATACGGATTCCAGAAAGTCGGGCAAGATAAACCATTAACGAAAATTAACAGTGTAAAGCTCAATCCTCTGGGATCCGAGTACAGGACTTTGCCCATAACCACAATTCAGGCTGGACACTTCAGGGCAGTTCATTTGAACGGGTCTGAGCACAAAGCTATTGGTGTTGTCCTGGCGGACGCTGCAGACGCAGCGCAGCACAATGCGGTTCCGTCACATCTGGAGTCTGAACGAGTTATGCAGAGAACTAATTCAATGCTGCAGCTGGAACAGTGGATTAAAATACAAAGAGGAAAAGGACAAGAGGAGGAAACAAGAGGGTAAGTATTATGTAGCAATTTTAATTTTTTTTTCCTTAAGCTTTCTAGTAAATAGTACTTTGACTTGTATCCTGGTTAGATTCTTTACTTTTCAGTCTACATTGCATAAATACATAATTCATTGTTCTCTGTGAGAAGTACCTGGATGACTACTCAGAACAAATTTATTAACTTTTGTCTTTTATTAATATCTGATTTATTATTAATAAATTAAACTATATTAATAATGTCAAAAATGGCCAGAAACCCTTTTTGGATGTTAGAAATTTCTCTATCCTAGCAGAAAGGAGGTGTCATCACTCACAACAATTCTTTTTCCTCTTAAAATCTGTTCTTGATATTGCCCTGTCTTCCACATTTTTCTTCACGAATTCTTGTAATAATATTTTATTTAAAATGCTTCAAAAATATTCCAGGGAGCTTTTAATCTTTAAACAAGCTTTAATTGAAGAGAGAGAGAGAGGGGGAGTTTACCTAAAGAGTAAGTCATAGAAATCTAACTAACTTGATGCTTAAAGCTTCTCTTCTCATGAAATTAAACATCTCCCAGTTCTAATATTGAGTTCCAGTTCTTATTCATGAAGCTTAAGTGTGAAAGATTAAGTGTGAAAGATTAAGTGTGAAAGATTGACAACATTGAATCTTATGCCAACAGCAATTTTTCTGTCTGACAGAAGCATAGGGACGTTGCTTCCAGGCTGGCTTACAGAAAAGCAGCTCTAGCAGTAAAATACAAATGTTTTTAATATTACAGTCAATAGGACGTAATGGAGATGCTATCGCAAGAGATATTTTGAAGAGCTGCAAATTAGGGAGTTTGCAGATAGATGGATGGCAGAGCAGAGCTTAAGATAGAACCAAATTCAGAAAATGTGATTTCTGCAAATTTCAAAATATAGGGGTTGGGGGCTTTTCAGTTCTTGCAAAAACTTGAAAAATTTACATTACACTTACACATGCCAAAATTGGTTGAACATTTCCTCATTGCCTTTAGTCTTTCATTAAATATAATTAGGAATTTTGAATATGTTATTTCTTGAGCTACTCAACATAAGTAGTTTGATCAAGTTTGAACTTGCAGTACAGAGAGTGAATTGCACACTCTGCCATTTATTTTATTATACATGCTTGTTCTACATAAAAGTAGCAAACTGAAAAAGAATTGGCCTTGAGCTATCTTTTTGCTTTGTGTGGAAGTGGCCTTGAATAATGATCCAAATTTCTAATGTATAGTGATGTCTTTAGAATGTGGTTTCATTTAAATTTATAATTTTATTTTTGTTAAGATTGCCAGGTTCTGGCAGGAGACAGAATTTAAGTAGAATTCAAATTGGTGAAATGAGAATAGAAAGAAGCTGCAGTTTATGTTAAAGCTTAAGGTTGAGGTGAGGGGCTAGTCAGGCTGTTTGCAAGACCTGTTCAACTCCTAACTTGAATTGTTGAGAAAAGTTCTCTTCACTTACTGCAGAAAAGTTGCTGACTTTGAACAAAGATGCTTTCCATTGCACCTGTCTCTCTGATGTGTTAGAGAAATCAGTCATGGAGGACCAAACTGAGTATCTCTGGTGTGTCAGACTGGAAAAAAAAAAATTAAGAAATATGAAATGTTAATGAACAGGTTCAATTAAATAAATATATGTAAGATAGGAGCTGTTAGCTGTTCTCAGTATGGAATGAAAAGGATTCACTGTAAAACTGCTAATTTTTTAGAGGAGCACACTGACCCCTTAGTAGTTTGATTGCCTGAGAAATTAATGAGAATGATGGCAATGCAGTTCGTAATTCTTGAAGCTGTTATCTGTCGTTTTCATGGATCTAGACATCTAGTTTTGTAAGAGCCACATGAATAGACACTGATGTCTTGAGGAAGAAAACCTTTTTTTTAAATCAAAAATAAATGTTTTTTATTTAAAAAATAAAAGCTTTCTACTTCAGTATCATTTTATTGAAATAATTTTGCAAAAGTCAGTTGCAAGTAAACATTTTCACCACTTGAGTGGTCTTTCTCAAACATGAGAAAATACAGAAGGGTTGCATGGTACTTAGGAAGGGTTTTTTTTTTGCTGCTAACGCAGAGCGTGAGCCTCCGTCTCCACACCGTGCCCACATAAGCCTCATCCTAAATAATAAACACCTCCTGTACAGCAGCAGGTTTCTGCCTTTGCTCTGCCACCCTTGGCTTGGTTCACACATGGAAGTGCTGTATTCTGGGCCAGCTGGCAGGATTGAAGGACTATTTTGAGGTTTCCATCCGAGGGTGTTGGTAACATTGTGGAGCTGTGCCACGAAAGGTTTAGCAGCAAAGTCACTTTCCCAAACGGTCCAACTCGGACACCAGAACCACTATTGCTATCCAGCAGTAATCCTAGAGAGAACCTCTAAAGGTGTCTATAAGGAGTCTATAAACTCACGTGGAAGCCTTTTTTTTCCTACAGGACCATTTGTAGGGAGCTGTTTATGATGATGGTTGCAGCAGTATTTTGCAGCCTCGCAGCGTGCGTGAGTGCTCGACTGGCTGCAGCAGTGTCCCCTTGTGCACGGGAATACTGTAAGCTGCAATACTGTCTGAAGTTGTTTTTTGGATTTGCTTAGAATCATAGAATGGTTTGGGTTGGAAGAGACCTCAAAGATCATCTAGTTCCAACCCCCCTACCATGGGCAGGGACACCCTCCACTACACCAGGTTGCCCAAAGCCTCATCCAACCTGGCCTTGAACACTTCCAGGGATGGGGCATCCATAACTTCTCTAGGCAACCTGTTCCACTGCCTCAACACCCTCTGAGTGAAAAATTTCTTCCTTATATCCAATCTAAATCTCCCTTCTTTCAGTTTAAAGCCATTGCTCCTTGTCCTATCACTACACGCCCTTCTAAAAAGTCCCTCTCCAGCTTTCCTGTAGGCCCCCTTTGAGTACTGGAAAGCTGCAATAAGATCACCCTGGAGCCTTCTCTTCTCCAGGCTGAACAGCCCCAACTCTCTCAGCCTGTGTTCAGAGGAGAGGTGCTCCAGCCCTCTTCATGATCATCTTCATGGTCCTCCTCTGGACTCGCTCCAGCAGCTCCATGTCCTTCTTGTGTTGGGGAAACTGACTTTTGCTCCATGTCTTTAGAATGACATTTTTGCAGGTACCAACAGGACATTGGTGAATCTGTTCTGATTTTATGAAATGATGTAAAGCAAGGCTTAATATTGAGGTGGTTGAGCTTTTTACAGTTTTCGTGTTGACCAGTGGAAGATGGTTGTGTTACCTTCCTAAATGTTCTAGAGCATAAGTAATTGCATGCAGACTTTCAGTTGCTATCTTTACATATTAAGAACTTCAGACAGCTTTTCTTCAAGTTTTCAGGGATATTTAAAGAAGCCAACAGGATTACAGTGCCCTTTTAATTAATAAAATGAGAGAGGAGCTTCAGTGAGAGAGCTGTATCTAGCTGCTGGATGTCTTCATTAAAATATCAGGCTTTGCCATACTTATTTGTGAATAACTAAAATAATATTTTGAAAGTTAGAAACTGAAGCCAGAAGTGTCTTGGTTGTTTGGGTTTTTTTTAAATATGGTGATGGAGAGAAGCCCTTATCATTAATGATTTGTTATATGAAGAAATTTAGAGGTATTTAAGCAGATTTCATGGCAACAGAATAGGATTTAGAATCCATTTCCCTTTTTTGTAAATATTTTTTTTGTGAGAATGAAAAGCTATCCAATCTAAAAAGTAGGGATAATACTTCATTAATTCTTGGAAAGCTTCAGAAACTGCAACAGATTTTATATGTAAAGCTCTTTATAGCAGTTTTCATCCCAAAACGTTAAAGGGGATCATAAATACTCCTCTTAACTATTTTCAGTGAAAAGTGGTTTTTACCATCATCAATTTCCTTGATACTTATTTCAGAAGGATCTAACATACATAATGCTGGTTCACTTTGCCATTTTCTCTACATCATTTCTCTAACGTTTTTGTGGCACTGAAGTCGGTCAAAACCGTCTTCAGATGCTGGTGCCTGGTGGTGGCAGGGACTTCTGGCTGAATTATTCTGGGCTGTAGCTGGAAGCTGCTGCCCTCTGATGGCTGAATCGTGTCCAGTTTGAGATCAATTTTGTCGTCTCTGAGCAGGCGTCTCTCATAGATGTGATCAGCAGCAGAAGGCTTTGAGAGGTGCTCATCTGAATTTTAGATAAGGGTTGAATGAATTAATGTTCATGACCTGGATTTTGGCCTCTGGAAAAGCAAAATGCTTTTTGTACTTCGAAATGCATCAATACTCCGTATGGAAAATTCTGTGTTTCGACTAATGCTGAAAGTTGCTAAATGACTGTAGCAGTCCAGAATTTTAATGTGTCAACAAATTAAGGAATAAGGCTTTGAATTCGTATCTGGGTTGAAAAGCAGTAAAATACCATTGAACAAAGAAATATTTTTGCTGTTTCACTTGAATAGCTGATATGGAATAGTTTATCATTGACAACTGCAAAATATAATTTTGTTAGACAATTATTGCTATTTTTCTGTGGTCTGCATTAAAAATTAATAGTTCTTTTATGTTCTTAGTAATTGCTCAAGATTTTCTTAGGGGAAACAATAGGAGATTTTTTTCACCTTTGAAAAGGAGAACAATTAAGATGGGCTTATGAAAACAGTACAGAACTTCTAAGCTTTCAAAACTTTGCCCTATCCAGCATATAGACAAGTTACAAGAATTGGTAAAAAATTTGACACTGTTAGACTGTTAAACAGGTAAAAATGAAGTAATAATTATATAATCAAGCAGTTAATCATTAAGATGATCCAGTTTTGGCTGCTACAATGCAGTCAATCACTATAGTTGATTCTTTAATCATTGTCTTGATTTCGTTGCATATTTTTAAAATGCCACTTGTAATATTTAAAAAAAAAAAAAAATGGTAAGAGTTAGCCAGATAAACATAACCGACATGGAAAAACTTCGTGCTGCCCTAATATTAATGCTGTCCGCTAATAAAAATAAAATTTATGTTTCAGCATAATCTCGTATCAGACGCTACCGAGAAACATGCCCAGCCATCGGCCTCAGGCTTTACCCCGGTACCCAGAAGGCTACAGAACCCTGCCGAGAAACAGCAAGGCACGGCCGGAGAGCCTCTGCGGCGTGACGCCGTCGGCTTACGACAGAGCCACGGCGCCAGGAGCAGCGGAAGAGAAGCGGAGGTCCATGCGCGATGACACGATGTGGCAGCTCTACGAATGGCAGCAGCGCCAGTTCTACAACAAGCAAACAACTCTCACTAGGCACGGTACTCTGGGTAGCCCCAAAGCTATAATTAATATTTCTGATCAGACGATGCATTCCATTCCCACCTCACCTTCTCATGGATCAATCGCTGGTTTCCAAGGATATTCCCCACAGCGGAACTACCGATCAGAAGTGTCTTCGCCAGTGCAAAGGGGAGATGTAACTATTGATCGCAGGCACAGGACGCATCACAGTAAGGTACAATACTTCTCTCAAAAGTTTAAAATCTTGCTTACAAAGATTTATAGTAGAAAGTGTACCATTAATGTAAAACTCCTGTTGCAGTATAGTATATTTTATTATAATGAAGATTAAATTGCATCAGTGTTTCCATGGAGAAAGGTTTGATTTTAAAAAGTATTTAATAATCTAAAGGCTGTAAAAAGAGATTTTTCTGGGACACTGTGTGAAAACTTCTTGTCCTGGTATTGCTGTCCATGATGCCAGGTTTCTCTAAATGAAAAAAAAAGGAGTCAATGGGCAAATCTATTCAGAATAGTTTTCGGTATGTACAGACATCTTTCTCCCTTCTAGCTTTTTTAGTTGGAATCTTAAGAGGACTGAAAATCCCAGATTTCTTTCCACATGCTGTTTTCTATTCTTCATCGACAAGTTTGGCTGCCTTGGGTTCCAGCAGAAAGCTGAGTGTAGTCGTTTCTTCCGATGCCTGGGGAGATCACTAAAAATATCAGAGTCTATTTGCACGCAACCTTAGCACCTGACCACCACAAGTTGGCTAATCTTCATCCATGAAAGAGATGAAGAACTGTAAACCTGGGTGCCATATGTGGCTCTGGTATATCCATCACGCTTGTGTTTTGCATATTTTTTAATAAATTGGACATTACATAACAATCATTCTTTAAGCTGAACGTAAAACTAGAGTTTTTATAAAATGCTCCTCAACCTTTTTGCTAAATCTTTATCTCAGGTGTCTTAATGTCTCTTGATGCAGGAAAAAATATTTAACTGCATATTAAAGCAGTTTAAACATCTGACAGTTGTTTACCAAGTCTTCTTTTTGGAAAGTTCTTAGATCCTTACCAACAAAGGAGTCATTTTGTTTTGGCATCCTTTGTTTCAACTTACTGACAGTTTAGTAACCAGTGCTTTTCACGAATCTGAGAAATACCACTAGGGTCAGTGCTGCAGAGCCTGTGATTACTTGTCCTTTCAGCCATGTTTTGCTTTCTCACATTTTTTTTCCTTGTGGAACACTTTATGCTAGTGTTTCATTTCATATTTAGCATCTTTTATACAAGATTCGTATTTACCTTGGGTTTTTCATGCTATTTAGTTTGTGGTTTTAGTTACACAACTAGCTTTTTCCGTTAACTCAGAAACACAAACCTGTTTCCAAGAGGTGGATAATTAGAAGACTGTTTGAAGTCAGTAGGGTAAATCTCAGATTTAAACTCCGTCTATATAGAGGTCTCAGGTGTTTAAACAGCTTTCAGTGATGGGTGAAAAACTAAAATGGGCTATGATTAGGGCAACAGCTGCAAGGGAGGACTGTTATTTAAATGAACAAGGAAAGCTGGGTTATTTCTGGGAGGCAGAGGTAGCCTACTTGAGCGTCCTAGATGGTAGATCAGCAGGGAGCATGACTGGCCAAAGCTGGCACAAATCATAGCAAATTTGTCGTGAGCGTGAAGTTGACTTTTTTTTTAGCATTTAATAGTTGTTGAGTCTTTAGATAACTGTGGATCATATTGTGCTATTTTGTTTTTGTACAGCATGTCTTTGTACCTGACAGAAGGTCAATGCCAGCAGGTCTGAGTTTGCAGCCTGTTACTCCTCAGAGCCTCCAAGGCAAAACAGTGAGTTGGATTTTTATTTGGTATATGAGTTTTTTTCTGAAGAATAATTCTTTAAGTATAAAGAGGCAACACTGAAGTCTTACTCTATTCAAAGTTTGCATTAAATGTAGCCTTTATTTTAACTTTCAGGGATGTGTAAAGCAAATAAAGTACTACTTTATAGTTATATTGAATTCTGAGAATATTGTGTAGTCACTGACTCCAGATTTTCTTTGAGAAATACAGATATATTTATTTTTTTTAATCATCTTTGATACATTACAGAAATTCCTGGGAGAGGATAGAAGACATCACAGAACACTTATTTCTCCATTAAGTATTTTGAGAATCCTAGAAATAAAGTTTACCTTTTTTGGAAATCTTAATGATACTAAAACTGCATTTGGTAAAATGATGTCCTTTCTAACATCTCCCATTTTTCTGTGATTGAAACTCTCATTGAAGGTATTTCATCAAAGTGATATTGGTGAATACTGTCCACCTTCCTAATTGAAACCTTCCTAATTGAAACCTTGTCCACCTTCCTAATTGAAACTTAGCCACAAGCTAAGAAATTGTTCTAAATCTACTACATTTATTTACCTGGTTTTGTCTCCTTTCCGTCATCTTTCTGTGTCCATCTGAAATTACTGTTTGAGACAGTTGTGAATTGAGGATACAGATTTTGAATCATGCCATGGGCAACGGCTCCCCAGTCAGTCCTTCCACTGCCTCCACCCCTGTTTCTTGCACTTCCCGGCCCGAATCCCTGGCACCTTCAGCAACTTGTGGGTTGGCCTTTGGCAGCTGGCGCGTTATCTCTGCACCTCGTCTTCTGCAGACGTTTCTTTGGGATCGTGGCCCCGTCAGCCCTTCTGGGCTCTGTTGCTGGAGCTGGGACAATGAATGGGGTAGGGGGCAAGGAGGTCCCAGCTTCTGCCTGTAGAAACCAGAAGTCCTGCCCACCGCACAAGCGTGGCAGGGGCCAGAGGAGGACACCCAAAGTAGCTCTTCAAACAAAATTCTGTGTTGTGGTTTTTGCCAGAGTCCCTAGAGCTTTACCAGAAGCACGACACTTACAGCAACGTCAAAAACGTTTGCAACATGATGGATGTTCAGAGAGGAGTAGGAATTACTGTTCGATGAGCTCTTCTATGGAAAAAAGTGTGCTTGCAGATGTTGGATTTAAGTGCCATTAAATAGTTTACTTCTAATGCACTAAAATGAGGCTTTTGCAGAATATACTGTTTGATCTCGAAAAAGTGGTTTGCTGTTCCTTTTGTTTGAAGATGCTACTTTCAATTCTCTTATTTTTAAAAATAAGTTTTTTTGTAGTTTGCAATGATGTTAATTTTCAGACTTAAAGCACTGTCACTGGTTTTTGGAGAGAACTTGAAAGTGTCTCGTATAGCAGTCCAGATTCTTACACTTACTTTCCGAAATCAAGTATTTCAAATCCAGGTATTGAGAGTACTGTAAGAGAAAGATTGGCCATTAGACAATTTGGCTTTGGTGTTGCTTTTCCCTCAAAGCAAATGGTTTTGGCAGGTGAAGCTGGGTGGAAATCCCTTGCTCCCTCATGTGGGCTGCTTTTGTACGAGCTCAGAACCGTGCCAGGGCCACGCTTGTTCTCAGAGATTTTTCTTCTTTATTCTAAGAAACTGGTATTCGTTTTTCAGTGATTAATACTTGGTTCTCTGGAGCTTTTTTCTTTACTTCTTTGCTTTGGGGAAATTCTGTGACTGTGGGAGAGAGCAAGCGGGGCTTTAGGGGTTATTTTTTTGTTTGGATTTGTTTGGGTTTTTTAACTCTCAGAACTTGTGAGAAAACCTAAATGCTGGATTAATATTTATTTAATCTTATAAGATTGACTTTTGGAGAAGTGTAAGAAACAGAAGCAAACATAACAAAAACACTTGTGACCTGAAGTGTTTTGTTTTCTTTAAAGTATTGCTAGTAGAAGTGGTTCCCAGGAATGGTTCAGGTAGAGTTTCCCAAACTGAGCTAAACTGATCTGTGTGGAATTACCTGACAAATACCCATTTGAGTGTGACTGTATTTCCATTATATATATGATCTTGGGTTTTAAATACTCTTCTTCCTCCCTTCCTAAGGTTGTATTGCATATCTTAGTCATAAAAGCAAAGCAATAAATTAACTGGTAGCCTCAGACCTGTGGAAGGTGGGACACAAAATTATTTTTGCCATGCTTGTGCAGTTTAATTTTGTAAAAGAGGATTGTTTCTGATGTAGTTTGGTTATGTATTTGCTTTGAGTTTTTTATTTGCTCTGAATTTTGACACATGCATTTGAAGAATTATTTTAGAAACGGAATTTTCTTTTTTATTTTTGAAGTTTGGGGCTTTTTTTGTTTTTAAGTTTTTTTATTCTTTCACCAAGCTCAAAGGACTGTCCATGTACAGATAATCATATCCTAAGGGCTGAATTATCTCCCCCTTCGCTTCAGTCAGTGTCATCAATTTGATATGCATGCCAGAAAAAGTTTGGGGGCTGTAGACTTTCCCCTGCGATATCCTCACTTTTGTCCTTTATACAGAATGTTACAGTGTGGTGGCATTTTGAGTAGTTAAAACTTAACCCTTCATTATATATTTCAAAGTGGTCAGTTGGGGAAAAATTGTGTATCTCTTGTTGCATCGCTATGGAAAGTTTTTGTAAGAAAGATACTAAGAACCCTTATTTGAATTACGTGTTGTTGAGGGTACAAATTAACCTTTTTCTCTACTCTTTGGCTTCTCACGCTGCACTCCTTCAGCCAGAGGAGCTCACGCTGCTGCTAATAAAGCTGAGACGGCAGCAAGCCGAACTGAGTAGTATCCGGGAGCACACACTAGCACAGCTCATGCAGCTAAAACTCGAGGCCAGCAGCCCGAAGGTCAGCTATAAAGCAATGTGTGTCATGTGCCCTTCTCACTAACTCGCTCGTTAATCAAAGTTTGCCTTGTGCCATTAGTGCAAAACGTCCTGCCTGCTGCGGGAGTAGCATGGAGTAACATTGATTCTTTGTGTATGTGGTGTTCTGCTATTAACCCTTTGAGGTTCTACCCATCGCTTTTTGAAGTTAGCCGAGTCAAAATTACATAGGAATATTTTAAAATACATTTGAGTCAAGTTTAAAGTTAATGGTTTTTAGCCTATTGGCGTTATAAACAAAATTAGTAGTGATGGATCATGAGGTTAATGTATTGTTTATGCTGCCTCGTATCAGGTACAATCTTATTTGTAATCTGTGTACAAAAATCAGGACGTGTTTAAAACACAGATTTATCAAAGGGTTTATAGTTCTCTGCATATAGACATTTACATGAGCTTACTGTATTTTATACATAAAACTAAAATGTAATGTAGTAGTTCGTAGTCTGATTTGTGGCAAACTTTCATCACTTGTTTTGGGATCAAAACTTGTTAACAGTTCACCAAAAAAACCCAGCATTATATTTCTGCGTAAAATAGAAAGTAAACTGTCTACTTTACATCTTTTAAAGCTCTTGTCATGCATTCTGCACCTTCTGTCCCTTTCCTTTTTCCCCCTGACTGCTGCCTGCTAGAATGAGATTCTTTCACATCACCTTCAAAGGAATGCCATATATGTGGATCATCAGGTGGGATTTGCAATTTTCTCGTGTGTTTACATTTCTTAATGCTTTTTGCCTACTCCTGTCAAGCTGGAAATATTTGGGGAGAAGGATTCTCAGTGCTTTTTATGAAGTTGGATATTTAATACATGCCCTTTTTAAGTAGCACAGAATACTTTAATTGATTACAAATTTGACATATAATGAAAAAAAAGCCTCAATTTAAAATTTGTCAGAATTCAATAACCACTCACTAATTAATTTTTCTGTTCTTTGTTTCCTTCTTATAATAACAATAACTGTAGTATTTTGCCATCTTTAATCAAGTCGTTATATATATATCCAAGCTCATATGACACACATGGAATTTATAGACAATTAGTACTTTTGACAATTTCAGTTTTCCGAATTAAGAAGTGTTAGATGTTTTCCACAGGCCATTAAATGAAAGAGAGGTCAAACGTGAAAAAATGTTTTGAACAAATCATAGCATGTCTCATTACTTTTTCTCTTTTTACTCAGTTATTTCTTAAAGATTTACATAAGAAATAAGATTTTACTTCTTTACCATTTCTGATAGCTTATGAAGTGAGGGTGCTATTCCATCTTCTCTAATGTAACTGATTGCCAAGTGAAGAACTGTGCTATCACATACCTCATTTTATGACTTTGTTGCATGAAAAAATGGGATGTCTGTACAAGTTGAGTGCGAGAAGGTTTTAAACGGAAAGTTTTTGCTAGCACTTACAGAAGACAGTCACAAGTGCTTAGGAGAAATATTAGCAACTAGATGTCCGTCACTTAAAAAATAAAAATTGCTACAGCTTTCTCTTTTTCTTCTAATTAAATTTTTCAGCCTTACACTTAAAACCAACAGTTTCTAGAACTTTTATGTTCTACATGTTCCTGTAATAGGATTTCAGTGAGGTATCAAAAACCACACACACACATACACACACAGAGTCTTGGTTCACCCAGGGAACCAAGGGAATTTATTTTCCTATTACCTCTTGGAAACAAGGTGTGAATTGTGACCAATTCAGTTAGATGGCAATGCGTTCCGGAACATCTCTGTGTTGTCTTAAGGGGCTGCAGGAGGTCCAAAACAGTAGGAGAAAAACTACTTGCTAAATTAGGCCAAAATATTTCACCCAACTCAAATATTTCCAGTTTATAATGTTTTGGAATAAGGGAATAGTTCTATCTATCTTCAACAATGTGATTCATTGCCAAGAAAGGATAACTGCCTGTATGAGTACCATGCTCTTGCTTGAGCAGCCAAGCTTGTGGGTATAACAGACAGGATTAAATGGAGAGAATTGCCTAGGTATAACATGCAAAGTGGTAAAACGGATTTTCTTTTTACTTGAGTCAGATAAAATTTACAAATTTAATGTGATGTGATTAACATGAATTTAGGGAAGTGTCTAAACCTTGTAAATGTGCCATATTTACCCCTACCAGAGATGCAAGAAATCACTGCACTCCTTACAGTAAGAAATCACTATCAAGTCTAAAATATATTACCTTAATCACAAAACCATGGAAGAGCAGTTGGAATCCTTGTCCCAGTTTCTGATCAGTTTCTCTTTTTTTCCCCTGCTGCCACCTACCTGTATGAAATAAATCCCCCTGTCGTGGTTTTAGGCTGATCCAGCAACTAAAACTCACACAGTCTCTCCTTCTCCAGTAAAGCAGAGAGGAGAGAAAAAAAACCCAAAGGGACTGAGGGTTGAGACAAGAACAGAGGGAGCACCCACCAACCATGGTCCTGGGCAAAACAGACAGGGCTTTTCTCAAAGCAAAACAGTTTATTAATGATTACTTAGAAGGACAAAGGGAAACAAAAAACCGATTACTCGAGAGGACAGAAAGAAACAAAACCAGATCTTAAAACCGACACCTTCCCCCCCCCTTTCCTTTTCCTCCCGGCTCTACCTCCTCCCCCCAGCAGCACAGGGGGCAGGGACTGGGGG